TCGCCTTTTCCAGTAACAAAACTTTCGACCTTTGCCTGAAAAAACTCAACTTTCGATTCAAACTCTGCCTTTCCTGAAGTTTCTTCCTTTGCTGGACTCTTGTCCATGACAATACCCCCTCCAATTTGAGATCCTTGACCGCAAGGATCAATGGTGGTTAATCGGCGTCGAACGAAAGATTCATCCTCCCAGGTGGTGAGATCTGACGGTGGTGGTATCCATTCAATCAAAAACTGGGTAACTTCTTTCCCCTTCCGATGAATTCTCCTTTTATCGATGACATTCAAAGGTGCGATTTTTAGGGTTCCTTCTTCATCAATTTCAGGGAGTTGTGAAGAGCTCACTTGTTGAGGTTGAAGCCGGCGTTTCAGTAAGGATACATGAGACTGGGTGAATGCGGGAGTCTGCGGGCAGATCTAAGCGGTAAGCTACTTCTCCCACTTTCTCCAGTATCGAGTATGGCCCATAATACTTTGCAGTAAGTTTCACATTTTTTCTCAAAGCAATTGAAGTCTGTCGAAAAGGCTGTAACTTTAAGAAAACTTGTTCTCCAACCTGAAATTGTTTGTCCTCTCTTTTCCTGTCAGCAAACAATTTCATCCGAGCTTGTGCTTGAGTAAGGTTTTCCTTAAGCTGTTGAGTCATATCTTGTCTTTGTTGCCACACTTCTTTAACATCAAGATTAGGTGAGTCTAAGTAGGGTCCAATGGCAAAGTTGGGTGGGGGGTAGCCATACAATGCCTGGAATGGAGTGGTCTTTAGGCTAGAGTGATAATTGGTGTTGTACCAGTGCTCAGCCAATGATAGCCATTTGATCCATTGCCTGGGATTAGAGTGCACCATGCTCCTTAGGTAATTCTCCAAACATTGGTTGAGCCTCTCAGTTTGCCCATCAGTTTGAGGGTGGTAAGCAGATGAGAGGTTCAATTGAACTCCTGCCAACTTAAACAGCTCACCCCAAAATGAGCTTGTGAAAATTTTGTCTCTATCAGGGACAATACTAATTGGCATTCCATGCAACTTGTAAACTGTGTCAAGAATAATTTTAGCAATTGTTGGAGCAGTAAAAGGATGAGACAGAGGAATGAAGTGGGCAAACTTTGTAAATCTGTCTATAACCACCAAAATGACATTTTTTCCCCCTGATTTGGGCAATCCCTCTATGAAATCCATGGAAATGTGAGTCCATGCTTGACTGGGAATGGGTAGTGGTTGTAGAAAGCCAGAGTATGGATTGTGATCAGCCTTGGTCATCTTGCAAATGTCACAAGTTTGTATCATTTTAGTCACATCAGCCTTCATGCTGGGCCAGTAGAAAGCCCCTTTTAACCTCATGTAGGTACCATAGATTCCCGAGTGACCCCCATAAGCCGAGCTGTGCATTGTTGAAAGAATTGAATTCCTCAGGGCTTGGTTGTTGCCAATGCCTAATCTCCCTTTGTATCTGATTATCATACTCTGTATAGTGAAATCAGGATATGAGTCAGCCTTAATAGTGTTGGCTGTTAAAATCTTAATGAAGAAGGGATCCTTTTTGTAACTGTTTTGGACTTCTTGAACCCATACTGGTAGAACAGTAGTAATGGCCAAGCAACTGTCAGCTCCATCACCCCTCCTGGACAGTGCATCAGCAGCCTTATTATCAGCCCCTTTTTTGTAGAGAATTTCATAGTCCAAGCCAAGCAACTTAGTTATCCACTTTTGTTGAACAGGTGACATGACTTTTTGATCCAAAAGATGCTTTAGAGCTTGCTGATCTGTTTTAATAAAGAATTTATGACCTTGTAGATAGTACCTCCATCTCTGTACAGCCATAAGGACAGCCAAAAATTCTCTTTCATAAACTGATAAGGCCTGATTTCTTGGACATAACATCTTGCTCATGTATGCTACAGGTTTTCCTTGTTGCATCAGTACTGCACCCACACCCTTGCCACTTGCATCAGTTTCCAAAATAAATGGTAGAGAGTAGTTAGGTAGAGCTAAGACTGGGGCATTGATCATGGCTTCCTTCAGTTTCTGAAAAGCCCTCTCAGCTTCATCACTCCATTGGAACTGATCTTTTCTGAGTAGATCAGTTAAAGCCTTGCTGAGGAGACCATAACCTTTAATGAATTTTCTATAATAACCTGTTAATCCCAAAAAACCCCTGAGTTGTTTGAGGTTAGTTGGAGTAGGCCAGCTGACCATGCTTTCTATCTTTTGAGGGTCAGTTGAAACTCCTTGGTGTGAGATGATGTGCCCCAAATACTCCACTTCCTTCTTTCCAAATTGACATTTTCTCTTCTTAGCAAAGAGTTGGTTGTCTCTGAGTATGGATAACACTTGTTCTAGGTGTTGTAGATGTTCATTCCAGCTCTTGCTATAAATAAGTATGTCATCAAAAAACACCAATACAGTTTTCCTCAATAGGTCTCTAAAAACCCTGTTCATCAAAGACTGGAAGGTTGCTGGGGCATTGCAAAGCCCAAAGGGCATGACCAGAAACTCATAATGGCCATTATGTGTTCTGAAAGCAGTCAGGTACCTATGCTCCTTTTCCATGAGAATTTGGAAATAGCCAGACCTCAAGTCCACTTTAGAAAAATATTTGGCTCCTTGTAGTTCATCCAATAGCTCATCTATAACTGGGATAGGATAATCATGCTTTACAGTCAATCCATTAAGGTATCTGTAGTCTACACATAACCTCCAAGTAGCATCTTTTTTCTTCACTAATATCACTGGTGAAGCAAAGGGACTTTTGCTGTCTTGGATAATACCTGAGTCCAACATTTCTTTCACAATCTTTTCAATTTCTCCCTTCTGGCTATGAGATGTCCTGTAGGGAAATTGATGTTTAGGTGAGCTGTCAGGTTTGAGAGTGATTTGATGTACCACCCCTCTGCTTGGGGGTAACCCTTTGGGTTCCTGGAACACATCCTCATATTTGGTGAGGATCAATTCTAGATCACCAGAGTCACTTGTTTCTTTTGCATGTTCTGGTTTATTCACAGCCACCCAGAAAACCTCTTCAACTGTTTGACAACCATCTTCATGGATTAGCTTGTATAAAGATGGGCCAGAAATAAACTTGCATGTAGCTTCTGATTTTAGAGCTTGTACTTTCACCCTCTTCCCTTTGAGAGTGACAGTAAAACTCATCTTTTCATAGTCCAGTTCAATGGGGGTGCAACTTTTCAGCCAATCCCCACCTAATATCATGTCACATCCCTCATTGTCAAGCACTCTGAGTGAATAAGTGAAGCATTGTCCCTGCATAAACCATTGAAAACCCTCAACCACATGTGAGCTTATCATCCTCTGCCCATTAGCAATTTTAACCATAAGAGGTTTGACAGATGTTAGGGGTAAACCCAGGGACTTCGCAGTACTAGCTTGTATAAAGCTAAGTGTGCTGCCTGAGTCAATGAGAATGTGCAATTTGTGCCCCTTTATGTCCCCAAAGACCCTCATGGTGGTAAGGCCATCCTCCCCAGCTATGGCATTAAGAGACATTTGTATTTCTTCAATTTTATCCATTTCTTCCACTTCCTCTGTGTGTTGTGTGGACTGGAGATAGTTAACTTCCTCTTCTTCAGTCATGGTCATGAAGTTAAGTCTGTGTTTGCACCTGTGTCCATAAGTGAACTGTTCATCACAGTTGTAGCATAGGCCCTTTTCCCTCCTAGCTGCCATTTCTGAGGCTGTGAGTAGTTTCACAGGGTTTTTGAAAGAATTGTTGAGTTTACTGGTGACTGGGTTATAGTTTTCATTTCTTTTGGGTGCTTGGTAGGAATTTTGAGGGAATTTGGTTGGGTTTTTGAGCTTTTTGGTAATAGCTTCAAGTGTCAGTAGCTGTTTCTTTCCCAGTTCTATGGTTTGCTGTAAGGTTTGTGGCTCAAACATGTTGATAAATGATTGTAATTCCTCAGATAGCCCACTCACAAAGCTGGCTATAAAATATTCTTCAGTATAGCCATGGTTCATACAAATCATGCAAGCCCTAAGTTCCTCAAATTTCTCCACATAGTCCACATAGGAGCCAACATGCCTGAGTTTATTGAACTCACCTATTATCTTGGACTCCTTCAAGGCCTCAAACCTGGCTGATATGAGTTCAATGAAATCTGCCCAGCATATATCCTCACACTTGCTGCTGAAACTTTGGTACCATTGAGCTGCCTTTCCTTCAAAATGCATAGAAGCTAGGAGTACCTTCTGATGATCAGGGACATTGGGAATAATTTTAAAATAGCTGTTGCATTTCAATATCCAAGACCTGGGGTTGGTTCCATCAAAATGAGAAAAATCGAGCTTGGGTAGGGGACTGATGATGTGTTGGTTTTGTGTTTGTTGTTCATATTGGATCCTTGGTTTAGAGTGAAGTGATTGTTTGGAGGTATTGTCTGTTCTGGGTTCAGGATAGGGCCCAAAAATAGATTCACTAGTTTTTGACTTATCTCTGTCTAGGTTAAGTAATTGCAGTTGAATTGCGGCAAGTGTATTTGCGAGGTTGTCATACTTACCACAGATGCTCTGCAATTGCCCGTGCAATTCTGAGGATAGACCTTGTATCTGTCCCTGCATTTCTGATGACAGACCATTAACCACAGTGTTTAAGCTTGAAATCTGTTCTTGGAGTTTTATTTCAGTAGCTTCCCTCTTCAGTGCTTCTGTTTGTAAGGTCTGATCGATTTTCTTATGTGCTTCTTGCAGATCCTTAAAACGTGTTGCTTCAGCCATTGATCAAGATCGTGGCTCTGAGATACCAATTGTTACAACCTTGATGTAACTTACTATATTTTTGTGAATTTTCTTTGATTTTCTGTGAGAGACGAGAGAGGTGAATTGGGGAAGGAGATAGATACAGAGAGATACAGATAGAGAGAGAATTTGGAGAGAAGAGAGAGAGTGTAACAGAAAGATGCTCTTAACCATGTGCTTCTTCATTTCATTTTTCTCTTAAATAATAACATACGATTGTTCCATATTAACTAGTTGGGCTAACAACATCAACTAAGCCCAATATCGATGAAATCCCTATGTGCATAATAATAAAGATGCTAATAATGGGCCCAACAATACAGATCCAAGTAACTCAATCAAGCAATCACTTTCTCAGTCACAAGACCCATTTCCTCCTCAATCTTGCTCTCGCCGGCGATTCTCTCATCTTCGCCTTTTCCAGTAACAAAACTTTCGACCTTTGCCTGAAAAAACTCAACTTTCGATTCAAACTCTGCCTTTCCTGAAGTTTCTTCCTTTGCTGGACTCTTGTCCATGACAGAACGAATCTTTCGATTCGGTACTCGGTAAAAATAATAATTTGTACACAACAGAAGGACCGCAAAAATGAACTGGAGATGTGCCCAGAATTTCTCGCGACTCGCGAGATGGTCGTGACTCGAGAGAAGGTCACGACTCGCGATTTTAACAGAGGCTGAAGATATTGTTCGCGAGCTCGGGTCGCGACTCGCGAGTCAATGTCACGACTCGCAAGATGGTCTCGCGTCTCGTGAGACATGTCACGACTTTCCCCGAATTTTAAAGATATTTGAAGATGCGCGACTCGCGAGATGTCGCGACTCGTGACTCGGAAAAAGTGGATGTTGCGACTCGCGACTTTATCGGCGCGAATTTTGAGGCGTGAGTTTTTGCATCAGAATTAGGGCCTAGGGATCATTATTCGACTTTCAGACTTTGTTTTTACGTTTTTTCTCTCTAGAAACTCATTCCTTTTCATTACTTTGCACATTGGATTTGTTCTTGGAGATTGAAAACTCTTATTTCTCGCTTTGGATTTGGATACTTTTGGGTTTAACATTGGGATTTTATATTAATCGTAAGTTCCTTTTCTCAATTTCTCTATTGATGATGATGACTTGGGTTATTGAAATTTGTGATGTTGAATTCCCTATGAGTATCTAAATTCATACGCTAGGGATAGAGGATGATTGATTAGGTTCGATTATGATTGCTTGTTCTTGATGGTTCATATCTATTCGAGTTGTGCTTATTCTAGGGTTTGTAGACTGATCACTTGTCTAACCTAATCAATCAACGTGTAGAACCGAGAGGGGAGACGTTGGTCGATTTAGACTCGTTTAGGATAGACTTGTTCATAAAAGTATTGTCTATGTGTTGTTGGAATTGATAGTTGATCGTGTACGTTCACTCTCTTGTTACGAAGAGTTATTGAAAGTGAGCCTCTAGATGAGAAACGATCCAAGTCCCCTAACCGAGCAATTGATTGCCGGTAGTTATGTTAGAACCAAAAGCAATTATCCCCGATTCCCTAGCTCTTTAATTACTGAGTGAATTTATTCTGCTTATACACACGAAAATATATGTTTGATATTTCAAAAAAAACAAATAAGTAAAAATAATTGGGCTTACAGTTTTATCATGCAGAACCAACTCAAGATATGATTTGTATGTGCTGCCCCAGCATTGAAAAAACATTCTCACAACTCGAACTTGAAACATAGGTCTATTAGACCTATTTAACTTGTTTGATTAAGCCAAATCCTTGGTTTATTTTATCGATGACACACTGATCTGTTTTTTATTTTTCGTAGGAGGTTGAAAGAGAGCAACACGTTGATTCAGTATAGGGAGATTTATAATTTATAACTGCATTATTAAATTTTATGTATAGATAATATGTAGAGATAATGTCAAGTAATTAAATCAAATCAGATCATTATCTGTTGTAACAAATCAGATAAGATTGATATCGCATTATAATCTGATTTATGCGTAAAAAACAATTCCACACAACAAAATACTTCAATTTAGGCGTAAACTCTGATTTAATTATGGAAGAAGTTTTCTGGTTGACCAATCTTATCATCATGCGTGAATAATTATAATTTATAATTTATAATAGCACTCAAAAAAGATTTTTCGTACAACAAAAAGCGTGAAATATGATTTAATTTGGAATCAGTTTTTATGTTGACCGAATAATTTCATTCAAAAAAGATTTTTCATACAACAAAACGCGTGAAATTTGTTTTACTTTTGGAAGATGTTTTTAATGTTGACCGATATAAAGTATAATGCGAAATAAATCTAATTTAATATTCTGTTGATGGAAATAAAAATAAATTAATAGTCATTGACTTTTCAACTTATTAAATTTAGTAAATAGAATGGCTTATTATATAAGTATAGATTTAACTTTTTTATATGAATGTCATTAGTACGTAAATTTCGATTTATTACAAAGATAAAATATATATATAAATATATTTATTGCTTTGCTTGTAGATGTAGTACTTAAATCCCAAAGATATTTTGTTAAGTGATAAGAAGTAAACAACTTTCGATATATATCTAATTTTAACAAATCTATTTCAGTATGAATTTGGTTGTATATTACACAACGTACCACTCTCATACGTATCAATCTCACCTTCTTAAATTCTTATCCGATATGTTAATTCTTTATAGATATATATTTTTAACAAACATTACTATTTTGTAGTGTGGATTATATGTCTAAGAAAATTATATTTAGTTTCTAAAATATTATAATATATTACTGCAATACATGGAACTAAGTAGTAATATATTAATATATCAATTAAGCAGTGTTAAAACTCTTGAGTGAGAGCTTTGCCGCCCTTGTGGTCCTATCCGGCTCGATTCCGGATTAGTCGGTTCTCCTGCGAATCCAGAAATCGGAAGGTCCCTGTATCCAAAAAAAAATATATCAATTAAGTGAGAAACCCGAATTGATTGCTCACAAAATTCACGAACTCAAGTAACAATAATAAAAACGGTATATAAAATCAACTCAATTAACACTAATGGAACGGTATATAAAATCAACTCAATTAACACTAATGGAACGGTATATAGAATCAACAAATTTATTTATATATTGAAGCAAAAGCATCGGCAACTATATATTTCCTAGAGACTTCAAAACAAATATTCAACGATTGGAAAAAAAAAATGAAAAGTACGCAACCTAGAACTTAAATCCCAAAGAATATAAATTTTCATCAAATCCAACTAAATAACTCGATTAACTTATAAAATAGTAACTAATAGAAAATTAAACTTAAACTTCAATGTCATCACATCCTTCTTTGTTGTCCTCGATCAAATTTCCATTATCATCAACCTTTGTTTTCCCTTTATTGCTTGTAACGGACTTGACAGCAAATTGATCAGTTCCGTTTTGCAATTGAATTGTCCCCAACCACATCCTTGGATTGAACAACCTTCAATGGGGTGGGGTGGACACCTCATCTTCCAACGTAGGATCCTAAAATAATTAAAATTAAAATAAATTAATTTTATTTCTTATCATGATTGATAATGGTAGAATAAAAAAGGTCATTGTGATAGGTAATTTATCACTCCAATCCCAGCTTCCTCTCTTTGTAAGAGAGTTAAGAAATCCGATTCCTAGGAAAAAAAATAATACATAGATGTTTATGTTATCTATAAAATATACACTTATAAAATTATAAAGAATCTTATATTTGAATAATTCCAGTATAAAAAAGGACTTACATCATATTGCACGACTCATTGGCTATACTTGGAAACCAAGTGTTCATCAGCAACAACATTAAGCACAAGAATGAAGAATTATAAGGGTCATCTGGCTTAATGCGAACCTTGAAGAGATATGACTTTCCCGTTAACACATCAAGTTCGTCGGGAAGTTCAAAGATGTCTTTCCTCTACAAAAAAATAAAAAAATTATTATTTTCGACATTTGTATATGTAATAATACTTATACATGTGAAAGACAAAATAGAGTCTACCTTTTGGTCATATTCTCGTTTCAATATATCACAAGTTTTTCCAACAATATTTTGACAATATTTATCCCAACAAACCAAGGTTGCACTGGCAGAAGCATCCAAAAAACCAAATTGAAATTTGTACCTAGATATGAAACAAATTTATGATTAAATTTGCAAATTATACAGTTCATATTTAATATTTCATATACATATGAAAAGAAACAGTAATACAGTTGGTGTTCACAAACCGGAATGTGCCGCGGGTGTGAGAGCACTTCCGGCATGTATAGCTCCCATTGCCATTCTCCATCGAGCAGCTCCATCTCACACATGCAGGGTACCACCAATCGTCTATAATAAAATCAATAGTCGCGCAAACCCAAGTGTTCATTGGCTACAAAGTTAAATATACATAACGAAGTTAGTATACATACATAATCAACAACTTAATGGCACAACTTTCAAGTATTATTGTTATTATATTTTTTATCGAACAAACTTAATAAGAATTGTAGGAAATTATTTAAAATATAAATTCCAACGCGATAGTAATAAGATCATTAGTATTACCTCGACACACTCAAATAGAGAATCAACAGAACTAACAACGATGTCACCGTCATCAAGTCCTTGAAGTTCGGTCTTCACAATGATTCAACTACTTGAAACCAACTTGGTATCCTTAATTTTATTT